AAATACTTCTTCCGCACGGAATTCAAACCCGCGACCCTTAAGTTAAGACACAAGTGCAGAAACTCAAGTTAAGCTACCGTGTCACGGAGCCGTAAAAAACAACTCTTGAAGAAGATGTTGAGTAGCATACATAAAACAAAACATACAGTCGAATTGATAACCTCCTTATTTTTTTGTAGTTGCCTAATGAAGTTAATTCTTATATATTTTTAATTAAATGGTTTTATTCTTCGCTAAAATCAACAATATAAATCGCTTACCGAAATGTTTCGAAAATTATACACGAACATCGATTTGTAGTTGGACTAAAAAGCTTTTAGCGTGACAATCTCTCAGATTTTATTAACGGAATAGCTTTTCAAAAGGGGCAATGAGTGAAAGCATTTAGAGTCATGAAATTCTGTAGAGATTTAATCGTAATTTTTATTTATTTTTACTATTTTTACATACATTTAATGTTGCTACATATACCTGTTAAAAGATAGGACTCCTTTTCTGCCTAGCAGTCTCCCCGTGTAGCCACCATCTCTTTTCTATTTCTGTCACCTGACAGCGGCGTCTTTGAGATGTATAGAAAGTTGATGTTGGTGGATCCACGCTGTATCTTTTCTTTTAAAGAAGAGGGGCCAAACGAGCATGCAGCTCACCTGATGGTAAGTGACTACCGCGGCCCATGAGCAACCGCGACACCAGAAGAATAGCAGGTGCGTTGCCGGCCTTACCGTGTAGTGGCGGTTAAGAATATCCACTACTTCACATCTTCCCGTGGGTTTCGTAAAAGACGGTACAGGGAAACAGGCAGGAGATGGGCGGCAGCATCTTCCTGATAACAGCAACTGTACAACAAAAAAACTGCGATTGCCAACCCGCTTACCAAGTGTGAAAACTATGGCAATATACCCCCCCATGAACAATTACACAAATCGACGGCCCTCAGTCCCCGGCGGCCCCACTATTCCTGGCTATGGTGGCGACCATGGTAACGGCAGGGCAGTGGGTGCTAAGAATCACTGGTTGAGGTTCGGTTGCCACCTACGACGACTCGACCTGGCAACATATAACGCACGCACCCTGAGGACTGACGAGAAGATCCTGGAGCTGGAAGAAGAGGTAGACAAGTTGCACTGGAATATTATAGCATTATTCGAGGTCCGAAGAGAGGAGGAGGACACGGTAATTCTCGAGTCCTGCAACTTGTTCTATCACCGGGAGAGCGACCATCTGTCCCAAGGAGGTGTTGGATTTATCGTCCACAAGTCTCTCGTTAACAACGTTGTAATGATTGGGAGTAAGTCGCCGAGGGTTGCGACCTTAAACTCTAAATCACCAAAAGGTATTCGCTGAAGATGATACAGGTTTATGGACCAACGTGGGAACATCCCGTTGAGGAGGTGGAGGAAATATATAAGGATATTTATAGAGCCATGCATTCCTCAAAAACTCACTATAGGGTGTTATCGGGAGATTTCAATGCAAAATTAGGCACAAGAAAGAACGGTGAGCTGTACATAGGGAAATTCGGGTAAGGGCAACGGAAGGGAAATTCGTGTTAGGGCAACGGAACCCAAGGGGCCAGCAGCTGGTCGACTTCATGGAGGAATAAGGACCCTTTATGATGAACTCTTTCTTCCAGAAGCGGCCCCACAGGAAGTGGACCTGATCGAGCCCAGACGATTCGACAAAAAATGAGATTGTCTTATGATGACCAGACGCCAACTGTTCAGTAATGTCTCAGTGACCGCGAGGGTGAAAACTGGCAACGATCACCGAATGGTTAGAGGCACACGGAATCTTAACGTTAAGTTGGAGAGGTGTCTTCTAATGAAGTCAACGCTCCGTCCTCTCGTGCTCTCATCCAAAATCCGGGATAATTTCAGCTCGAGTTACAAAACTGATTTCAGTGCCTAGAAGATTGCAATGCAGTGGACGATATGTATGAAAATGTCCATGCGGTTGGAGCTAAGTTCTGGAAGACTCTTAATCTCTTGGCTGTTATACGGGAGATGAGGCTGCAATCGTCAGCAGATTTGACAGCATACAGGCAATTGAATAGACAGATCTTTAAATGCATGTGGCAGGGCTTACGCAACTTCAATAGAGCTCTTATTGAAGAAGCAATTGAGTATAATCAGGGCTCCAAAGTCTTTGCTAGAGATCTGTCTGCCAACTGCAACCAAACTGCAAACCAGAAAGAGCCAACTAAAGCTGAAGACTGAGTGTGGCAGCATCATTTCCGAGACACCTGAGATTTTGAAAGATATTAGGAGGTTCTACCGGCAGTTGTACACATCACCGTTGGAGCCAAACGCAAGTGCGAGTAACGATCCAGGAGCAAGTCTTAACCGACACTATTCCGATGATATCCCGGACGTCAGTCTGAGCGAAATTAGAATGGCTCTCCAGCACCTTAAATATGGCATGGCCCTAGGCGAGGATGGAATTACAGCGGAGCTTCTGAAAGTGGGTTGAACACCAGTACCAAAAGTCCTTGAGAAGCTCTTCAATTCCGTCCTTCATGGTGGCACTACTCCAGAGGCGGATTTGACACATCTCGTCAGGTATATCTCAAATTTTGAAAACTAGATTGTTCAATCAGTGCGTGTTGCCGCAGATGACTTACGGATCTGAGACGTGGTCCTTCACTGCTGGCCGTATGAGGACATTCAAGGTCACTCAGCAAGCTATAGAGAAGGCTACGCTCGGAATTTCTCTGCGTAATAAATTTAGAAATGAGGATATGCGCATTCGAAGCAGAGTAACCGACATAGCCCTTCAGATTAGTAAGCTGAAGTGGGAATGAGTCGGCCATATATCTCGAAGAACCGATAACCGATGGGGAAAAAAGGTTTTTAAGTGGCAGCCTCGTACCGGTGGGCGTAGTGTAGGGCAACCCCCACTAGATGGAGTGACGATCTGGTAAGACATGAAGGAAGTCGATGGATGCAAGTGGCTCAGGGCCGTGCTTTGTGGCATTGCTTGGGGGAGGCCTATGTTCAGCAGTTGACTTGTGAAAGGCCGTCATTATCATAGCCATGAAAGCCTGTGAATGGATGTAATGATGATGAAATAATTGCCTTCCTTTTAGAAAAAAGTAAGCTCTTTTCTTGAACGAGCCTCACTCGTATCGGTTCGGAAAAATAGCCGGTGTTAAACAATTCCTCAGAGAAGTTTTGTGAGGTTCTCGTGATTGCAACACGATTATGTCAACTTGACCAAAAATTACATTAATACATAATTTAATCGTAAAAGGCATCTTAATACCACAGTTTTGCATGGTTAGTGTATAAAATCGGAAACCTTTGTTGGATAAGATGTATTCAAACTTAGACAACGAATCTGTGTTTTGATTCTTAAACTAGAATAGATGTAGCTGTCTCATCCACTTATCATCCGTTAAACTTTGTCAACCTTATTCTATAAAAAGTGATGGTGTAGCCAATACACATCTTCACATAGCTTTAATCATTGTGCTACTATTTAACGTTATTATTCTGTAAGAAAATACTTCCCCTTCGAAAACGAATATATAACTGCAATGAGATTTTAATGAAGAGATATTTTGCATTATTCAGAATACCAAAACCAAATTTAAGTCATGGGAATTTTGTCATTAATTTTAACAATATTAGTTTCATTCAAGAGCGTATTAATAGTAAAAAGTATATAATAATATAACACATAATAAAAAGTATATAATAATATAATACATAATATTATATTATTATATACTTTTGAAATGTATTACGCAGTTCAGCCCACATATTTCTGCAAAATTTATTTATCTTTTATCGTTTATTGTTTGTCTGAATAATTGAATATTAATATGGAAATTTCACTACAAAATCGAACACAAAATTACTTACTTGTACATCACAGAACATAATAGTTACTAACTACGTACGTAACAAAAGAGTGAAATCATTTGACGGCGCGGATCTAGGACGTTATCGCCACTTACCACAAGTGTAGATTGTACTCCAGCTTTGGCTTAAAAATAAAAATCATGAAGCTACAGCCAACCCTTGCCTTTCTGGTCTGTTAGGTCTACTTCATGACTTCCAATGTGAAGATGAATACGTACAAACCTACTGCGGTAGTAGACTGGCTACGACATTGGTATTCCTTTGTAATAATTCTTTGAAGTAAACGAGATGCAACTAGGTTATAGAAGAAATTAACAGGCCATTAGTCTCATTACAGCAAGCAAAAGGAGTAAGTAGGAACAAGAGGCAGATTGTCGCGGAGTGCTACAATAAGCCGTGCACAGTTGATGAGTTACTAACGATTTACTAAAAAAAATGGCTCACGATTCTCTACACTCACTATACGAAATACAGAAGCATTATGCTGTTATTCTACGCTGATATTCTATGAGAGTATTCATTGTATTGTCTGCCGTGATCGCCGACAGTAACGGTTTCGTTAACTCCTAGTTTTTAAAATAAAATAAATGTGTTTAGTGTTTAAACTTACTTAAAATTAATATCAATATATGCAGTGTTTCAATAGTGTTCGAGTGGTTAAATCATTCAGTGTTTTCATGTTAAGTTGTGATAAAAATACTCCAAAAAGTGTGAGAAGCACCGTAGTCATTTTTAAAAGTTGCAGTCAGTTGTTTATTTTGCAATGGGTATGCTATAAATTATAAGTCACTTATATTATTCAACGAACATTTATCTCCGTAAAGTGAATCGCTTATTCAAAGAGTATATCGCTCTATCGGCGCTATGGCTTACGCATTAACGCAACAAAAAAATAAGTATAAGAGGCGTTAGATCGGATTCCAACAGCTGAGGCCTTTTTTAACTTTATTTACAAACATTTCTTAGTTTGAGATTAGTAAAACAATTAATATGAATTGCTCTGCCTACAACAAGAAACTACTTCGCACTGAACGCTGCTTAGAATGTAATCACTGTCATTCAAAATATCATATTGAGTGCCTAAATTAAAAAAAAGAACAATTTATGAATTCAACTACTGAATATAAATCAAAGTGGATGTGTCCATCTTGTAGTAATATAACTAAACGTAAACGATCGAATGTCAATACGCCTGTCCAACAAACGCTTGTACCACGCGTAGCGAAACCATTGAATTCGCCCCTTGAAAATTCAAGTTGTTCATCAATCGATTCGCAATTATTTTCCTCAAACGACGAAAATCTCGTCACCGTGGGTAAAATTTGTACCTTATTGGATAAAAAACTTATTAATTATCTATCGGATTTCGTGGAAAGTTTTAGAAAAGCATTGAAGGATGACGTCAAAAACCTAGTTCAAGCTGAGGTGGACTCAGTCGTGCAACAGCTTAAAGACGACTTTACTGTAACCACTAACTTTATATGTGATGAACAGTCTTCCCTAAAGCAAGAAATTGAAAATAAGAGTCACATAATAAAACACCTAGAATCTGAAACTCTTCAATTTCAAAAGGAGATTAATGTTGTGACCAATCGTTTAACATCAATCGAAAAAATTTCCCGTAGCAAAAATTTAGAAATTCAGTTAGTACCAGAAAGTCGAACTGAAAATCCTATGCTGTTATTCCGCAACCTGTAAATATTCAAATAGACGATGAGAACATTCATTCTTGCCGTAGAGTTGACGATATCTCCTACGAACGCCCTAGAAATATTCTTGTAACACATTAACCCACGCTTAAGGGACCAAGTTCTCTCCGCATGTTATCGTTATATTAAATCCAATAAAGACAATCCCTTGAATGCCAACAACATCGCATTAAATTGTGAAAAGCGAAAAATGTACGTAACTGAAAATCTTTCACCCGAATATAATGCTCTTCATGCTGCTGCTATAAAATTTGCAAAGGAGAAGAAATATAAGTATGTATGGGTTAAGTTCGGACGCATATATATTCGTAAGGAAAACACTGCGGCCTGCATACACATTAGAAATATGGAATGCTGAAACAAGCTGTCACAATACCACAAAAAAAAAATTTTTGTTGCTATATGGTTTATGTATTTGGGAATTTTACTATTGTATAATGTTAATTTATTGTTACGCGCTAAAGTCGACGATACACTAGCGCCATCTAGTGTCAGGAACGGGAGCGAGGGGAGCATTGAGAAAATGACATCACAAATCACTCAACCGACAGCGCCTAGTCGAAACTCGAACGCTCGGTACCTTGCACGTGTTCACTTGAACATTCTGGATATTTATTTGCTAATTTATATAAGTAGGCGCTGCAAGATGCGATCGAGGCAGAGTTGAACTCGGCGACACAAGCGAAGCTTCGGAGCGGAATTAAGTGAATTAGTGTGTTTAAATTATTAGTGTTTTTAGTTTTAATTTGTGTAAAGTAAATTAAAGTGTTAATTTAGGTAATTTTATCGGCAGTTTTTTATTGTCACGAACTTCAAGCTCGTAACAATTGGTGTCAGAAGTGGGATAAAATCATGCCGATTTTACCTAAGGAGGAAACGGAGGGTGTTCGTACCCGCAGTCAACGCCAGCATGAGACGGACCAGAGAAGATTTGGTGGTGCAACGCCGCAGACGTCGGAGGGCCAGCCGCCGGCAACGGAGGCCGGTTCGTCAGTAGCTCCTGCATCTGCAGCACCTGATTTAGGCGCCCTGATGGTGATGCTGCAGGAACAGGTCCGTCGGTTGGAAGAGCAGCTGCGGGGCGGACAGGCAGAACAGGCCAGCCGACAGGAGGAACAGATGCTTCTCATGAAGGACCTTCACGCTACCTTCGGGAAAGAGATAAGGGAGGTGAAGGATAAGGTTGCTCAACATGACAACCGCCTGCCGGAAGCTGAAACCCGAATCGACCAAGTGAACAATCGGATTGACAACGTAATGGCTGACATGAGGAAATCACTTGACGAACTCAAACTTGGCGAGGGAACTACAGCTCCCGTAGTAGCTACTACACCTTCGCTACATGGGTTCAAGGTGCCACCATTCGACGGGACTTCTTCCTGGTCAGCCTACAAAATCCAGTTCGAGGCTGTTATGAAGGCAAACGGCTGGAATAAAAGTCAGGCCATGACTGCTCTCACACTAGGCCTGCGCGACCAGGCCTTAACAGTTCTGGAAGCTCTCGGTGAGGAAGTGACTTATGAGCAACTTCTTGAGGCATTGGAGGCGAGATATGGCGACGCTCGCCTGGAACAAGTCTTTCGTGCGCAGCTTAAAGATCGTGTGCAGCGCATCAACGAAAACCTGCAGCAGTGGGCTCTAGAAGTGGAGAAGCTGGTGCGGAAAGCATACCGGTCTGTACCTGCGCTCATTGAAGGGAACCTGGTGCAGACATTCATCGACGGCATCCGCGACCTTGAAGTCAGAGCTGCTGTGAGGCTCGGGCACCACGAGACGCTTAAGAACGCCTTGGCCCATGCACTGGAAGTGGAAGCCGTGCGACAGGATCATCGTTCCCATCGCGTCAGGGAGGTTGCGGCAGCTACAGTTCGCGACCGCAACAAAGGATACAGCCCTAGGTGCTATGGCTGTGGGGAAAAAGGCCATCTTCGAATCAGCTGCCCTAAGCGAACCGTGGAAAGGAGAGTTGATCGATCTCGAGAGGGTAGTGCAGCTAACGACACTGCCTGGCGGCGACAGGATCGTCGTTCACCTCACGCTAGGGAGGTTACAGCAGTTACGGTTCGCGACCACAATAAAAGATACAGCCCTAGGTGCTATGGCTGTGGGGAAAGGGGCCATCTTCGGTCCAGCTAACCTGAGCACACCCTACGAAGGGAAGGTGAACGGTCTCAGAAAGGAAGTGCGGCTAACAGCACCGCCCAGCAGCAGCAGGAATACGACTTTACTATCAGACACTGCAGCGGGAAATCTCACGGCAACGCGGATGCATTGTCAAGAAGACCTTGTCCTGAAGATTGCAACCATTGTAGTAGGCAAGAGAGTAAGGAGGTGGTATCCGTATGGATGCTCAGGACAGACCACCTCAGCAACGGATGGAAGGACAACCTACGACATGCACAGCAGGAAGATCCGGACATCAAGCCGATTCTGGGATGGATGAAGGCCTGTGCTACCAAGCCTAAGTAGAGGGACGTCTCAGCGATGAGTTCAACCACGAAAAGCTATTGGGCCCAATGGGACAGCTTGCTGATTCAGGATGGATTCCTGTGCCGTAAATGGGACAATGGTCGAAGAGACAGCTGTCGTTTGCAAATGGTTGTCCCTAAATCTAAAGTGCCGAATGTTCTACAGTTATGCCATAATGGTCGTTCAAGAGTCCATCTGGGAGTTAAACGAACTCTACTGAAGGTCCGAGAACAGTTTTACTGGGTCCATTATCGTGACGATGTCGAGGATTGGTGTCGTACATGTACAAGTTGTGCGGCCGTGCGGGGACCTCGGACACGTAGTAGAGGAGCACCGAAATTGTACAATGTTGGTGCACCACGGGATAGGACAGCCCTTGACATTGCGGAGCCGTTACAGAAAGGCGCAAGAGGGACTCCTAAGATCGTCCATGTGAATCGCTTAGCGCGTTATTATGGGGCCGATAATGCTCGGGACGAGCATGTCTTAGAAGGGGGCAGTGTTACGCGCTCAAGTCGACGATACACTAGCGCCATCTAGTGTCAGGAACGAGAGCGAGGGGAGCATTGAGAAAATGACATCACAAATCACTCAACCGACAGCGCCCAGTCGAAACTCGAACGCTCGGTACCTTGCGCGTGTTCACTTGAACATTCTGGATATTTCTTTGCTAATTTAAATAAGTAGGCGCTGCAAGATGCGATCGAGGCAGAGTTGAACTCAGCGACACAAGCGAAGCTTCGGAGCGGAATTAAGTGAATTAGGGTGTTTAAATTATTAGTGTTTTTAGTTTTAATTTGTGTAAAGTAAATTAAAGTGTTAATTTAGGTAATTTTATCGGCAGTTTTTTATTGTCACGAACCTCAAGCTCGTAACATTATTATCAAAATGTTAATCGCTTAAGATCAAAAACCAAAGAATTCTATCTTAATGTAATTAATAATAATAACTTGCTATACATCACTTGTGAATTTAGCAATTCCATTGGAATGGAGCTTGGGACGGATAAGTGTGCGGTCCTCCATGTTGAAAGGGGAAGGGTTGCTAACTCTGAGGACGTAGACTTATCTATGACCGTCAACTTAAGGACCCTTTCCGAGGCTGAAACAAACCGATACCTGGGTATGTCACAAAACATCGGTATCGTTGAGACTGGTATGAAACAGTCAGTTTGCGACGTGTTTTATGCACGCTTGACCAAAGTGCTTAACAGCCTTTTGTCCGGTGTGAATAATGCACACGCATATAACGGCTGGGTCATGCCTGTCCTCATGTATACCTTTGGAATACTCAGGTGAACTTAACGCCCTGGATAGAAAAGTCCGCACTACCATGACGTCCCATAGGATGCATCATCTGAGATCGTCGGTAATGAGTCTGTACTTGTCGCGGAAGCATGGTGGTCATGGCTTCTTGAGCGCGCTCACCATGCATAATCGCGAAGTGTGCAGCCTCCGTGATTACTTCCTGGCGAGATCGGATGATCCATTCTATAAGGACGTCATTTCTTGTGATAAAGGACTTACCCCTCTATCCTTAGCCAACGAGCAATGGCAAGACCCGGCAGTGCAGAGCATTTCCGACCGGTAGACCGTATGGAAGGAGAAGGAGATCAACGGGAGGTTCTACAAGGCTCTACATGAGCCTTTCGTAGACACCGTAGCCTCCCTCCACTGGCTACGCTTTGGTGATCTCTTCGGGGGAAACCGAGGGTTTTGTCTGTGCAATACAGGATCAGGTTATTAAGACCAACAACTATCGGAGATACATCCTAAAGTATGGCACCGTCGACATCTGTCGAGCTTGTCGCCATCCCGGTGAGTCACTTAGGCATGTTATCTCCGGTTGTTCGGCGCTTTCTAACTCTGAGTACTTGCACAGGCATAACCTAGTAGCCAGAATTCTACATCAGGAGCTCGCTCTGAAATACGGTCTCGTGGATCGGAAATTGCCGTATTACAAGTACTTGCCGGAAGCCATGCTCGAAAATGATCGCGCCAGGCTCTATTGGGACCGGGCCATCATCACAGACAGGACTATTCTTGTGAATAAGCCTGATATTGTGCTGATGGACCGGGCACAGTCAAGGATATTTTTGGTCGACATTACCATTCCGTATGACGAGAACCTCGTGAAAGCCGAAACAGACAAGCAAACAAAATATCTGGACCTGGCTCACGAGGTGACCGACATGTGGGGTGGTCTGCCGACCGAAATTATTCCTGTAGTCGTCTCTGCAAACGGGCTAATCCCAGTCAGCCTCGCGGGTCATCTGAGGCGGCTGGGACTACGTGGCGGACCGCTCCAGGTTCAAATGCAGAAGGCGGTGCTCCTCGATACCGCCCGCATCGTCCACCGGTTTCTTTCCCTTTCCCCCTAACCCTCGGCCGTTTGGTCTCCCCTGCCGAGGGGCCTCCATCTGGTTGGGCTTTTATTTATTTATGTACTTTTATATTTATTTTATGTTATTGATATTTATGTATATTTATCTTTTCATTTTCATTTATAATTATATATTTATAGAACCCAACCAGATGAGAAAACTGTATAGATACCCTATAATAATAAAAATAATAATAAGGCGTAGGGAATTGACGACCCCATCGCCCGCTGACGTAACAGTTAAGTGACAAAACTGCTACGTCAACGCAGTCAGTCAGCGCCTTGCGAGAGGTGTGAGCGCCGTGCCTCGGCAGAATTTAGGGTGCAGAGGCCCGTTTGTGCTTATGGCTACACACGAAACGGTGCCGGGCCTGGGCGTCTCCCGTTAATGGACGCCCAAATAATGGATGATGGATAAAAAGATAGTGCGCAAAGGGCCGCTGCCTGGGGGTCGCCGGGGCGCGTCTGGAACTGGCGCTGGGCGCGGCAGCATGCGGGCCGCCAGCCGAGTGCGAGGAGCTGCATGGTCACCTAGCAGCCCTCCGCATCCAACATCCCCACCAGAAGGCTTGGTGTCGGCTGGGTCTTCTCGGACTCAGCAAGCGGCACCCGCCGCTGGTGGAGCACGTCGCATGAGGTGGTCACAAGCAATGAATGCAAACGCACTGCGGGCGTACTATAGGGCAAAAGGGGGAAGAAACTGGATTTTTGGCGTATCGGGCTAGGATGCATCGTCTTTTTGCTGAGCTGGAGCCATCTTTAATCGTCACAGAGCAAAACCTGGCAGACCGAGTTCGGTATATCTTGCGCTCAAATATATTTGATGTCGCCGAACTCGAACAGCTACGACGTGAGGCTGTTCCCTCGTCGGATGAGAATGCTACGGCTGAGGATGCGGCACCACAAATGGTAGAGCAACCCGCAAACGTGGATGCCGCCGTGAATACCCCAGTTGTGGTTAATTCAAACGATGATGGAACAGTCGCCCAGGAACTGGAATTAGAGCATATGAGGAGTACATTGGAAGAGGCGATTGTGGAAACGCGCAGTACGCCTCTCGAAAATCGATCGCGACTTCCCCGCATAGCCCTAAGCAAGCGGAATCGGGCTGTCGTGAGGGCTCTGAACCCAATGCTGGTGACCTATTTGGAAGCCAGCCGGGACCTTTGCGAGACGGACTCAATTCTTTTAGGCGCCGCGCTGGCAGTCTGCTGTATCATAGGCGCCAAGGTTTCCACGGCTGGACGCGCAACTGGCCATAGTAGCGCTATTCCAGCATGGAGAAGAAGAATTGAGGAACGTATCGCAAAGGCTAGAGCTCACATCGGCAGACTGATATGCTTCAGATCAGGCAACAACAGGCCAAGAATTGTGCGCACCGTCAGGATGGCGTTTGCTGGGACATTTTGTGACGGTTGATATTTTAAAATAAGGCAACAACCAGTCATAAAAAAAATTATATATTGGTAAAAGAAAAGGTCGTGGGCGTGGTTCCGATAATTTAAAAAAAGTGCCCGTCTGGCTTCACTGGCAGGGTCAGGTACTCCCCTATGTGGCCGCGAGGTGGTCGAGCAGGGCCGGGGGTTGGACTGTTCACGGGGGAGCGCCGTGGGCAGCTGGCTGTGGCGGTGGCGGCGTCGAGGGGAGGCCTAGGCCCTCTTAAGAAGGACGACCGCCACGGTTGTAGTCGTAAAATTGCACCCTGGAAACAACGTCGTCCACATTTAGGTCCAGGTAATAAAATGCCGCCGATTATGAACCCCCGGTATATCGCAGGCTAGCAGTAGATGGGAGCACAGAGAGTAGCTGACGGGTGTTCATAATCAGAACGGAGTTACAAGGCGGAATGGAAGGCAAGCGTCATAGCGGTGAGGCGCAAATTAAAATACACATGAATTAAAATTACGGCAAGTGTAAAATACTGTTTAAATGTACCAGGATAACTAATTTAGGCTGTGCATTGGTTGAAACATGATGGTGACTTGCGATATTTGATCGCGGTGCGAAATGTATGAGACGCCATTTTGTAACGGTACTTTTGCCAACGCACACAGCGGCTACATACATTACTTACATGCAAATAACACTAATAACGTGGCAATTAAATAGCTAAAAGCAAACAGCCTGGCATAATCAAATAACACTACCTATAAAACACTTTCACTACTTAAAACTAGGTAACGTTTCAACACTTACCCTTACGGGGTGCAAGACGATACGGAGGTCTCGGTGACGAGAATTAACGAAAAAACTATACGGCCACAGTGCCGGAATTATTATATTATTTTAAACTTTTTCCAAAATGGGATTAAAATTTGCAAGCGCGTACGAGGACACAAAGCAGAGCTTGTGAACGCGGCTGCAGTGGTAGTGTGCGCCTCCCAGGGCGCTCGGGCGGAGAATGACCGGGAGCGCGACGCCGTGGAATGATACCGGCCGGGTAAAACTCTGACGCGAGAGTTGCAAAGCGCATAGAGTAACGAAGCGTCAGAGTGTTTGTTCGAAATAAAATATTTTAATATTTGATTTATTATTTAATTCGTTCTTTTTAGTTTACTGATTTGTTTTATTAATAGGATACCTAAGTTAATTATAGAATTATTTTTGTTAATAACTTTTATTTTATTTTTATTTAGTTTATTAAATGTTTATTTAATTTTAATAAACCGTTTAATTATAATTATGCATACATGTACGTGCAACGTTACAAAATGTCAGTTTGTCCCAGCCGGATATAACGCAAAAACTGACGGAGCGCATAGACGATCTGAAGCAGAGAATCGCTGCTTGGGGAAAGCGGATTTGGCGATATACCGAGAGGTCGACACGGTTCAACCAGAATCGTCTCTTCCAGAGTGATCAGAAGAGGCTCTATGAATCATTGGAGCGACCAATGGAAAGTGGAACAGGTCCAGCACCGAATCAGGCCGACACTGTAGCATTCTGGCGCGGCCTGTGGTCAGAGCCCGTAAACCACAGCGAGGGCCCTTGGACGGAAGTTGTGGCGAGTCAGTGTGCGGGTATTACGCCCATGGACCCCGTCATCATAACGCCGGATGATGTAGCTGAGGCGGTCCGTAGGGACCCGAACTGGAAAAGTCCGGGGCTTGACGGGCTGCATCACTACTGGCTGAATGGGTTCATGGTGTGTCACTCTATGCTCGCCCGACAGTTTCAAGAGGCTCTCAACCAGAAGTCGCTCCCAAGCCTCTTCACTACTGGGATCACTCATTTGGTTCCTAAAGACCAGGGTGCCACAGACCCGAGCAAATACCGCCCCATCACGTGTCTACCGACCATATACAAGACACTAACATCCATTTTGAGCGCGAGAATCACTAGTCACCTGGACTCAAATCAGGTGATGTCACGCGCTCAAAATGGATGTCGGGGCGGTGGTCGTGGAATCACGGAACCACTCCTCATTGACGCGGTCATTGGCAAAGTACAAGATAGACTGTACAGTAAGAGACTTCCTCGAGCAGTGTATAGGAAAGTGGAGTACGATCCTTTGTCATCTGGGCGAGCGGATTATGGCTGCGGAGAACCACATAAGGATAAGAAGGGGTATCTTCCAGGGCGATTGTCTGAGTCCAATCTGGTTCTGCCTCTCTCTGAACCCTCTCAGTACCTTACTGGAGGGCTCCGGGAGGGGATTTCAGCTACGGAAAGGAGGGACAAAAGTGACCCACCTTTTCTATATGGATGACCTCAAGTTATTCGCCTCCAGTCGCTTCCATCTTATGGAATTGCTAAACATCACTTGTGAATTTAGCAATTCCATTGGAATGGAGCTTGGGACGGATAAGTGTGCGGTACTCCATGTTGAAAGGGGAAGGGTTGCTAACTCTGAGGGCATAGACTTATCTATGCCCGTCAACTTAAGGGCCCTTTCCGAGGCTGAAACATACCGATAACTGGGTATGTCACAGAACATCGGTATCGATGAGGCTGGTATGAAACAGTCAGTTTACGACGTGTTTTATGCACGCTTGACCAAAGTGCTTAACAGCCTTTTGTCCGGTGTGAATAAGACACATGCATATAATGGTTGGGTCATGCCTATCCTAATGTATACCTTTGGAATACTCGGGTGGACTCAGACTGAACTTAACGCCCTGGATAGAAAAGTCCGCACTACCATGACGTCCCATAGGATGCATCATCCGAGATCGTCGGTAATGAGGCTGTACTTGCCGCGGAAGCATGGTGGTCGTGGCTTCTTGAGCGCGCTCACCATGCATAATCGCGAAGTGTGCAGCCTCCGTGATTCTCCATTCTATAAGGACGTCATTTCTTGTGATAAAGGACTTACCCCTCTATCCTTAGCCAACGAGCAATGGCAAGACCCGGCAGTGCAGAGCATTTCCGACCGGGAGGCCGTATGAAAGGAGAAGGAGCTCCACGGGAGGTTCTACAAGGCTCTACATGAGACTTTCGTAGACACAGTAGCCTCCCTCCACTGGCTACGATTTGGTGATCTCTTCGGGGGAAACCGAGGGTTTTATCTGTGCAATACAGGATCAGGTTATTAAGACCAACAACTATCGGAGATACATCCAAAAGGATGGCACTGTCGACGTCTGTCGAGCTTGTCGCCATCCCGGTGAGTCACTTAGGCATGTTATCTCTGGTTGTTCGGAGCTTTTTAACTCTGAGTACTTGCACAGGCACAACCTAGTAGCCAGAATTCTACACCAGGAGCTCGCTCTGAAATACGGTCTCGTGGATCGGAAATTGCCGTATTACAAGTACTTGCTGGAAGCCGTGCTCGAAAATGATCGCGCCAGGCTCTATTGGGACCGGGCCATCATCACAGACAGGACTATTCTTGCGAATAAGCCTGATATTGTGCTGATAGACCGGGCACAGTCAAGGATATTTTTGGTCGACATTACCATTCCGTATGACGAGAACCTCGTGAAAGCCGAAACAGAAAATCAAACAAAATATCTGGACCTGGCTCACGAGGTGACCGACATGTGGGGTGGTCTGCCGACCGAAATTATTCCTGTAGTCGTCTCTGCAAACGGGCTAATCCCAGTCAGCCTCTCGGGTCATCTGAGGCGGCTGGGACTACGTGGCGGACCGCTCCAGGTTCAAATGCAGAAGGCGGTGCTCCTCGATACCGCCCGCATCGTCCGCCGGTTTCTTTCCCTTTCCCCCTAACCCTCGGCCGTTTGGTCTCCCCTGCCGAGGGCCTCCATCTGGTTGGGCTTTTATTTATTTATGTACTTTTATATTTATTTTATGTTATTGATATTTATGTATATTTATCTTTTCATTTTCATTTATAATTATATATTTATACATCCCAAACAGATTAGAAAAATATAGATACCCCATAATAATAATAATTACTGATATGCTTCAGGTCAGGCAATACCAGGCCAAGGATTGTGCGCACCGTCAGGATGGCGTTTGCTGGGACAAATGTTAGTTTGTCCCAGCCGGATATAATGCAAAAACTGACGGAGCGCATAGACGACCTGAAGCAGAGAATCGCTGCTTGGGGAAAGCGAATTTGGTGAGTCAGTGTGCGTGTATTACGCCCATGGATCCCGTCACCATAACGCCGGATGACGTAGCTGAGGCGGTCCGTAGGGCCCCGAACTGGAAAAGTCCGGGGCTTGACGGGCTGCATCACTACTTGCTGAAGAGGTTCATGGTGTGTCACGCTGTGCTCGCCCGACAGTTTCAAGAGGCTCTCAATCAGAAATCGCTCCCAAGCCTCTTCACTACTGGGATCACTCATTTGTTTCCTAAAAATCAAGGTGCCACAGACCCGAGCAAATACCGCCTCATCACGTGTCTACCGACTATATACAAGACACTAACATCCATTTTGAGCGCGAGAATTGCTCGTCACCTGGACTCAAATCGGGTGAGGTCGCGCGCTCAAAATGGATGTCGGGGCGGCGGTCGTGGAACCAAGGAACCACTCCTCATTGACGCGGTCATTGGCAAAGTGGTGAAACGCAACCGTCGGAACTTCTCCGCCGCTTGGATAGATTACAGAAAGGCATTTGACTCGGTGCCCCATACATGGCTAAAGAGGGTCCTCGAGCTGTACAAGATTGACTGTACAGTTCGAGACTTCCTCGAGCAGTGTATTGGCAGTGGAGTACGATCCTCTGTCATCTGGGCGAGTGGATGACGGCTGCGGAAAGCCGCATAAGGATAAGAAGGGGTATATTCCAGGGCGACTGTCTGAGTCAATCTGGTTCTGCCTCTCTTTGAACCCTCTCAGTACTTTACTGGAGGGCTCCGGGGGGGGATTTCAGTTTCGGAAGGGAGGTACAAAAAGTGACCCACCTTTTCTATATGGATGACCTCAAATTATTCGCCTCCAGTCGCTCCCATCTTATGGAATTGCTAAACATCACTTATGAATTTAGCAATTCTATTGGAATGGAGCTGGGGACGGATAAGTGTGCGGTCCTCCATGTTGAAAGGGGAAGGGTTGCTAACTCTGAGGGCATAGACTTATCTATGCCCGTCAACTTAAGGGCCCTTTCCGAGGCTGAAACATACCGATACCTGGGTATGTCACAGAACATCGGTATCGATGAGGCTGGTATGAAACAGTCAGTTTGCGACGTGTTTTATGCACGCTTGACCAAAGTGCTTAACAGCCTTTTGTGCGGTGTGAATAAGACACATGCATATAATGGTTGGGTCATGCCTGTCCTCATGTATACCTTTGGCATACACAGGTGGAGTCAGACTGAACTTAACGCCCTGGATAGAAAAGTCCGCACTACAATGACGTCCCATAGGATGCATCATCCGAGATCGTCGGTAATGAGGCTGTACTTGCCGCGAAAGAATGGTGGGCGTGGCTTCCTGAGCGCGCTCACCATGCATAATCGCGAAGTGTGCAGCCTCCGTCATTACTTCCTGGCGAGATCGGATGATCCATTCTATAATGACGTCATTTCTAGTGATAAAGGACTTACCCCTCTATCCTTAGCCAACGAGCAATGGCAAGACCCGGCAGTACAGAGCATTTCCGACCCGGAGACCGTATGGAAGGAGAAGGAGCTCCATGGGAGGTACTACAGGGCTCTACATGAGCCTCACGTAGATACAGCCGCCTCCCTCAACTGGCTACGTTTCGGTGACCTCTTCGGTGAAACCGAGGATTTTGTCTGTGCAATACAGGATCAGGTTATTAAGACCAACAACTATCGGAGATACATCCTAAAGTATGGCACTGTCGACGTATGTTGAGCTTGTCGCCATCCCGGGGAGTCACTTAGGTATGTCATCTCCGCTCCGTTGTTCGGCGCTTTCTAACTCTGAGTACTTGCACAGGCACAACCTAGTAGTCAGATTTCTACACCAGGAGCTCGCTCTGAAATACGGTCTCGTGGAACGGAAATTGCCGTATTACAAGTACTTGCCGGAAGCCGTGCTTGAAAATGACCGCGCCAAGCTCTACTGGGACTTGGCCATCATCACAGACAGGACTATTCTTGCGAATAAGCCTGATATTGTGCTGATGGACCGGGCACAGTCAAGGATATTTTTGATCGACATTACCATTCCGTATGACGAGAACCTCGTGAAAGCCGAAACAGATAAACAAACAAAATATCTGGACCTGGCTCACGAGGTGACCGACATGTGGGGTGGTGTGTCGACCGAAATTATTCCTGTAGTCGTCTCTGCGAATGGGCTAATCCCAGTCAGCCTCTCGGGTCATCTGAGGCGACTGGGACTCCGTCACGGACCGCTCCGGGCTCAAATGCAGAAGGCGGTGCTCCTCGATACCGCCCGCATCTTCCGCCGGTTTCTTTCCCTTTCTCTCTAACCCTCGGCCATCTGATCTCCCTTGCCGAGGGCTCCCATCTGGTTGGATCTTATTTATTTGTGTAGTTTTTGTATTTATTTTATTTTATTGATATTTATGTACATTTATCTTTTCATTTTAATTTATAATTATATATTTATAGAACCCAACCAGATGAGAAAACTATGTTGATACCTCACAATAATAATAATAAAATGGCGTAGGGAATTGACGACCCCATCGCCCGCTGACGTAACAATTAAGTGATAAAACTGCTACGTCAACGCAGTCAGTCATCGCCTTGCGAGAGGTGTGAGCGCCGTGCCTCGGCAGAATTTAGGGTGTAAAGGCCCGTTTGTTCTTATGGCCACACACGATACGGTGCCGGGCCTGGGCGTCTCCCGTTAATGGACGCCCAAATAATGGATGATGGAAAGAAGATACCCGCAAAGGGCCACTGCCTCGGGGGTCGCCGAGTCGCGTCTGGAGATGGCGCTGGACGCGGCAGCATGCGGGCCGCCAGCCGAGCGCGAGGAGCTGCAAGGTCACCTAGCAGCCCTCCGCATCCATCATCCCCACCAGAAGGCTTGGTGTCGGCTGGGTCTTCTCGGACTCAGCAAGCGGCACCCGCCGCTGGTGGAGGACGTCGCATGCGTTGGTCACAAGCAATGAATACAAACGCATTGCGGGCGTACTTTAGGGCAAAAGGGGAAGAAACTGGATGTTTGGCGTACTGGGCTAGTTTGCATCGTCTTTTTGTTGCGCTGAAGCTATCTTTAACCGTCACAGAGCAAAACCTGGCAGACCGAGTTCGGTATATCTTGCGCTCATATATATTTCTGTTCTGTTCCCTCATCGGATGAAAATGCTACGGCTGAGGATGCAGCGCCACAAATGATAGAGCAACCCGCAAACGTGGATGCCGCCGTGAATACCCCAGTTGTGGTTGATTCAAACGATGATGGAACAGTCGCCCAGGAACTGCAATTAGAGCATATTTGGAGTACATTGGAAGAGGCGATTGTGGAAACGCGCAGCACGCCTCTCGAAAATCGACCGCGACTTCCCCGCATAGCCCTAAGCAAGCGGAATCGGGCTGTCGTGAGGGCTCTGAACCCAATGCTGGTGACCTATTTGGAAGCCAGCCGGGAACTTTGCGAGACTGATATGCTTTAGATCAGGCAATAACAGGCCAAGAATTGTGCGCACCGTCAGGATGGCGTTTGCTGGGACAAATGTCAGTTTGTCCCAGCCGGATATAACGCAAAAACTGACGGAGCGCATAGACGATCTGAAGCAAAGAATCGCTGCTTGGGGAAAGCGGATTCGGCGATATACCGAGAGGTCCGGTTTAACCAGAATCGTCTCTTCCAGAGTGATCAGAAGAGGCTCTATGCATCATTGGAACGAACAATAGTAAGTGGAACGGGCTCAGCACTGAATCAGGCCGACACTGTAGCATTCTGGCGCGGCCTGTGGTCAGAGCCCGTGAACCACAGCGGGGCCCTTGGACGGATGTTGTGGCGAGTCAGTGTGCGGGTACTACGCCCATGGACCCCGTCATCATATCACCGGATGACGTAGCTGAGGCGGTCCGCAGGGCCCCGAACTGGAAAAGTCCGGGGCTTGACGGGCTGCATCACTACTGGCTGAAGGGGTTCATGGTGTGTCACTCTGTGCTCGCTCGACAGTTTCAAGAGGCTCTCAACCAGAAGTCGCTCCCAAGCCTCTTCACTACTGGGATCACTCATTTGGTTCCTACAGTCCAGGGTACCACAGACC